TTTAAGATCCGTAGCTAAAAAGAAGAGCCAACACTTCATAACCTGCCACCTCTTCACACTATGAGTGGGTCCTGGATCACAGTGGAAAGCCAATGCCCAGCTGTAGAAAAAAATCCCTTGCCACTCGTAAGCAGCATCTGGTCTCCTTGGAGTATTTGGACTCTTTGAAAACGTGGCCAGTTAGAGAACGCTTTGTGCTCCCAGCCTTATTTAATCGAATGACCTCCGAGCGCTTCAGAGAAAGCAGGAAGAATAGTCATCACTGTCTACGGACGGAGAAAGGGGAAGGAAGGCAAAGTCGAAGTGACTTGCCACGGCCAGTCTGGATGTGGATCTGAACTCCCAGGTATGTTCCCTAAGCACTGGATTATTTCCCTTTGCCTAGAGACACATTCCCATCCTCCCAAACCAGTAAAAAGGAGAAAAGCTATCCATGGACATTGGCGGCTTGGAGGGGGGAGGGAGAGATGATGCTACCACGAAACAGCTGACTTCCAGAAGCTCCTCTCCCCCAGCCCCAAGCACCATCTAAGTCTCACTGTGAACAGGCACCTTTCCCAACCTGCTGCACAAACAGCCCATACCCCTGTTCAAGCCTCGGTCCCAAGCTTGGTTTGATTAGGATTCCTCCCTCAGGAAAACTCAGCCCACACCTTAGATCTTCCCCTAAGTCATAGCCAACAGCTGCCCTTAGGCTCCTTGTATTACTGAACCCTCCTTGCCTGCAATGCTTCCCAGAACCATGGGACCTGCTATTTAATAAAGACCTTCAATGAAAGGTGTTAACACAAATCTGGTCCTAACTGTCCTCTGTGGCACTTCACAAGTTGCCTTCTCTGTCCCTCTGGTCCAGAGGATCCAGCTTCGTCACATCTCAGTCCGGTTGCCAACGGCATAACCCAGCTGGGAAGCCTTACTATGCAAACGATGCATTTCCAGACCGGTGATAAACATGTCACCTTCATGGGGAAGAAGCCCTGTAACATGCTGTGTCAATCTGCCCCTGGACACACACCTGGGACAGTTTTACTAGCAGAGACGCTCTTAAGGAAAGACCCTATTAGCGACCTGCATGCCAGGTACTGAAGAGCCCTACGATTGAGGCCCTGGAAGTTGTCTGAACAGTGCTTGCTCCACCTGCTGTTCAACAGGCACAATTAGGACGTCAGTATCCTGTGACGGCCCATTTACTGAACCACCTTGCAAACGGCAAGAGAAGGATCGATAGAGGGAAGGGGAAAACTCACCGTTGCATTTGTTCTTCACATCCCCTTTAAAACAAGGGAGGTCGCAGCTGTTCTGTGGAACCTCTCCCTTACAGACCGAGAGGAAGTACCAATACTGGGTGAACAATCGGTGCTGCAAGCCACATCACTGGAGATGAAGTAAGAACAGAGAGTCTTGGCACTAGCGGTAGTGGATTCAGGGCCAGACGGAACCCACGGTGAGGCTCTCATCAAAGAGGATTTCATTCCACTGATGGCTGAATGAAGACTGAATGCTCAACTAGTGAGCCGCCTGATGATCTCTTTAGTGATCAGTTTATGAACAGTTTCAGCCAGTGACTTGGAAACAGATGTTCAAAGCGCATCTCAATGTTACATCTGCTAGGATGCAGCCTCTGCAGCATTTAGATGTACGTGGAAAGCCGCAAGCAAATGTCTTTCTTTGGAAATATTCCATTCCCTAGTTGCAGAAGGACACACAGGGTATGTCTACACTACCCTCCTAGTTCGAGCTAGGAGGGTAATGTAGGCAGTCCGCACTTGCAAATGAAGCCCGGGATTTGAATTTCCCGGGCTTCATTTGCATAAACTGGGCGCCGCCATTTTTAAATCCCTGCTCGTTCGAACCCCGTGGAATGAGGAGTAACGGTAGTTCGGACTAGGAAGCCTAGTCCGAACTACCTAGTTCGTGCCGCATGTAGCCGCGCAGCACGGGGTTCGAACGAGCAGGGATTTAAAAATGGCGGCGCCCAGTTTATGCAAATGAAGCCCGGGAAATTCAAATCCCGGACTTCATTTGTAAGTGCGGTATGCCTACATTACCCTCCTAGTTCGAACTAGCGGGGTAGTGTAGACATACCCACAGACACTCAAAGCCATAAGTCCACTCACTTTGCCAGACAAGGAAAAGTTAGCTCAGAAAATGGACTCCGTCCCAACTAGACAGTGTCCATCGAGATTGAATGGTTGGCAGTTAAAGGAATTGGCTACACTAAAAACGAGTAGTCCTATGGCGCCTTAGAGATGAACACAAATAAATCTTGCATCATGAAGCTTTCGTGGGCAAAACCCGCTTAGCGACACTAAGTGATTTAGCCTATAAACGCCACCAACAGCACAGAAAAGCTGTATGTGTAGCGGTGGGCTGGACAGGTAAAAAGACAGTCCCCATCTCAAACTAGCTTCCGGCCGAAACAGGCAAAATACGAGTGACGGACGAGAGCTATGCTACCACAGCGAAGCGGGGCAGGTGAGAGGGATGGGGAGGTTACGCAGCAGATTGTGAACAATGACGTTAAATTGCTGCCAATGGACAAGTATGACATATTTAATAAAGACAGCTGACCTTTAATAAATTAAAGATATTAAATCAAATCAAGACCTAACCGTTCAAGTGATAGGTAGGCTTTTTTGTATTGTAGGCTAACCAAAGGGGTGGCATACCGAGGTATTTCTTTCAGTCCCCTGCTCAGTTCCCCTTCCCAGCAAGAGGCAGGGGGAGAGCCCAGATCCGGTGGGCATTTTGGTCTAGATTCCTGGAGGAATGATCACAGCTACAACGCCCCCACAGACAAGGGCCCACGAGCACTCCTCCCATTTTGCACGTTACGACCGAAGTGCAAGTGCAAAGCCCTCGCTGCCCAAAGTGCCAGTGTTTCAGCGTGCCTGCGTTGTCCATGCCACCCGAGCACGTGCCTCAAACTCTCGGTCCATCCCAGCTACTGCAGTCAGAGAAACTGCTTAGTCCCACCGTAGGGCTGGTGACATATTGGACCCCTCGTTGCTGCAAGCGGAGCAGGCGACGTTACTCTTATTGCTGCCTAAAAACCACAAGATCTGAACCAGCTTTGCTGAACGCCAACTAACTAAACGTGGCCCTTGGGGTTTGCTCTGTGCCGTCCCCTCTGCCCAACACCCTGTCCCAGTCCTCACTGCCGGTTACCTGGTGCAGGATCCATGGAATTCTGTATATGAGCACGCACACATTGGATATAAATATGCTTCTTTTGTTCGAGTTCTACTTCGGAAATGCATAACCGGCGTTTTGGTCTAAAGAGAAAGAAAAAGAAAGTTAATTTGTCGGACGTGCCTGGGAAGTAAAGCTCCGTGTAACAAACAGCAGCAGGCTCTTCTGTGTGGCCGATTCAGACAAAAGTGCCTTTTTTTTCGGCACACATTAACCGTGAGGAGAGACGTGGCAAGCCACTCCTAGGAGCAGGACAGCCGACAAGTCCGCGCTCAGCCTGTGGGAGGAGCGGACACTTGTCCCCATTAGCCGTGACAATAACAGAGAGCACCACAAAGCCGGGTTGGAGGGGGCTGGGTGCGGAAGGAGATGGAGGGAAGGGCGTGGCAAATCTAGAGTATCAGATGCAACAGTCCATTGAGGAGTAAGAGTAGATCATGGTAGAATCTTTCCGCAGGGACTCTCTTTTATCGGACCAACTTCTGTTAAATAAAAAACATTGCTCCCCCATCCTGTCCCTAACATCCGGGAACAGGCCTGGCTACACCAGCGCTGTGCACGGCCTGCTCTGACAGCTATCACTGTTCCCTCTCATTCCTCAGTGGATTGTTGCTGCCATCTGCTGGAAGCCCAAGGGATAAAGGGGACCAGTGGCAGGGACTCTCTTTTATCGGACCAACTTCTGTTAAATAAAAAACATTGCTCCCCCATCCTGTCCCTAACATCCGGGAACAGGCCTGGCTACACCAGCGCTGTGCACGGCCTGCTCTGACAGCTATCACTGTTCCCTCTCATTCCTCAGTGGATTGTTGCTGCCATCTGCTGGAAGCCCAAGGGATAAAGGGGACCAGTGACCACGCAGGGTGTGGCTAGACTACAGGGTTTTTTCAAAAAAAGTAGCCTGGCTCTCAGTGTTCTGTGCTGTTATTTGGCTCTAATTGAGCCCAGCAAGCAGTGGAAGTGCTGGTCATGCTGCTAGACAATACTGACCTCTTGTGGTCTGGCAAATTCTTTGGTTCAGCACCGGGTAGGTTCCCAGGGTGCCAGACTAGAGAGGTTCAAGCAGTACTCCAGGAAGATCCATGCTCGGAGGCAGATCTTCCAGGGTTCGATTTAACAGGTCTAGTAAAGACCAGCTAAATCAAACACTGAGGGCGTCCTGTTGACTTGGTACTCCTTAGAATTGCAAGGACTAAGGGAAGTTGACAGGAGAATTTCTCCTGTCAACCTCCCAGAGTGGGCTCGGCCCTGAAATTCAGTTTATGCTACAACAACTCCAGCTATGCAATTCTCGCAGCTGGACTTGCGTCTCTTAAGTCGAATTTCTGGCGTAGCATAGACCTAGCCTAAGAACATCTCCGACACAGCCTGTCAGACTCAGGAGTGGGAGGGGAGGTGATCCCACCTTTCACAAGTAACCCTTGGGACAACTACAGCAATCGTTCACATGGAAATACTGCTTCCCAGTGCAGTCTATAAATCCCCGCCTTTCTGTGCAATTCAGCAAGCGGAAGCGAGAAGCGTTATTAGCCTCACAAGCAGCCAGGTCTCTAGGCCCCCAGCAAGTGCTCCACAGACCAGTGCGAGAACTGCGGAGCCAAGGAATGCCTAACATATTACCTTTCTTCCACCTGCGGCACGGGAATGACTTTGCCTAGCTTCTTCCCGCAGGCGGGCTCTTCTCCACGGTTCTGGTCTAAGACGACCGCGTTTTTCTGGAGAGAGGAGGAGAAAGAGGATGAGGTGGACAAAAGACACTCCTGTGTTCATTATTTGCCTGCAGAAAAACTCACTGACTGTGCAAGGCTGCAAAGCCACGGACGCACCCGGATACTGCTACTGCCCACCGAGCGACGTTTAAATAAAATCACGTCTCACCCATCCACCCTCCTGCCCATTTGTTCTGCTTCGCCAGCTGATTGCTTTGTTGAAAGCCAAAAGGATTTCAATTTTAACCATTTTTAAAATTAAACATTTTCTTGTAAAAACCACCAAGGCCAAGCTGATTTATAACCGGAAAGAGACAGAGACGTATGTGTTTACTTTAACAGTGTCTGACGATTCTTCAACAGAGGTGGACTCCTGGTTCAAATCTTTTGGGGAGCCAAAGGTCCCTGATGATCCATTGCCAGCTCCTCTGGAAGGGTCCCAATTTAAGACATCAGAGGTTTTCAGAGGCAGTTGCAATAGAGGTACTGGATTCTCCATTTCATCCTTACTGTGGCCACAGGCAGGGGCAGGAGAATACGAGGCAATTTTAAAGTGCGCATCAAAAGGAGATGGCTCTTTGATTTCTGATAGCAGCTTTTCCACACTCTCCATGCCTGCACTGTGCGGCTCCTTAGAAGCCAGGCACTCAGGGTCCTCTTCAACATCCAAGCTATTTGAGCTGATTTCATCATAGCCTGCACTAAGTTTGCTTGCCCTATGTAGTGGGTCGTGTCTTATTACTCGTGAAGCTTTTCCGCCGGTTTCCTCCAAGCCATCATCTCCTTCCAGCTGATCTACTGAGTCTGCATCAGTCGGGGAAAGATTGAGAAGCCCCTGAAGGTCACAGTCCAACCGGGTGCCAATGGCTTCACCGGCTTTCAAGCAGTCCCCGGCCAGGCCTCCTTCCCCCACAGAAGGGGCCGTTTGAGTCTCAAGAATTGGATGATATTCAGGATTAACAAAAGAGCCAGTTTGAGACAGAAACTCGTTACTTACAAACTCATCTATGGTTCTGAATGACGCCTTGGTGTCTTCAGAGGGGACTGATTCCTGTGTATAGTTGCTGCTCATTTCCTTCTCACTTGGGCTCCATACATCTTGAGTCACCAAGGCACTCTCTCCAGTAGAGTGCTGGTCCTCTAAGCTATCATCTGCTAACAATTCCTTACACTCTTCCTCTGTGTAATTGAAGGGAGAGTTCCCTTGTTCGTCATCCGAGGGCTCCAGCAGAGTGTCATCTGGCTCACTATCATCGAAACATCTGGTTCTATCCACAGAAAGGGCCACAGCGCTGTCTTCTGGAAGACTCACTCGGATGACAATGTTCTCCAACTGGGTATCATCCAGACAGGCAGAGGAGTCTAGAAAGCAGGGAGAATCTGAGGAGCACCGTGGTAGCTTTTTTGATGGGCACGGAGTGCTACAGTAATGACTCAGGTGGCATAGTTTCTTAGCAGGGGACTGCAGGGGCTGATCCTCCTCCAGGAAGCCTAAAGGCCGCTTAGCCCTGGGGGCTGTGTCATTAACAAGAGTCACTTTAAGATTATGAAGCACATCAAGCCCAAAGGAAGGCGGAGAGCTGTCCTCCATGGTGCTTTGGGGCTCGGTACGTAAGTGACCTCGCTGCTTCTGCTTTGGACACTAAAAACCAGGCAGCACAAGTACCAGCGTTTACTGAGCCTCTAATCAACCCGGAACGTGCTTCACTCTTCCAGAAAATTCATCAGTCACAGGACTGGATCCCACTTACCTGCAAAGAGAAAGCAACGTAAGCAAAGTAAAGGAGGGTCTCTCCCCTGTTCCTGTCTCAGCTAACTTACTCCCTTCGCAGTCTCCTCTGGACAAAGATGTACACCTCCCCTGATTGGGCCAGGCCAGGGTGGGATTTTCATCTGGCCTAGAACAGCTTATCCTCTGACTGACCTGCTTTCGAAATGCCGGTCACTTTGCTATCTAGGGTACCTTGCAGTAGGGATGTAAAATTTCAGTTATTTGGGTCATCGAATAGTCAATGCCGTTTGCATCGACTATTCGATTAGTCCATAAGGACGCTTCCGCCTTTGAAGTGTAGCAAGAGGCTGTTGCTACACTTCTAAGACGAAAGCTGTCAGGAACACGGGGCCAGTGGGGAACTCATCAGTCCCCCGCCGGCCCCGTGTTTCCTGCGGTGTTTCAAAGTGGCAGTGCTGCATGGAGCCTGAGTCATCGGTGGAGTCCCCAGCTGACCCCGGGCTCCATGCGGCCCTGCTGCTTTGAAATACCCTGAAGAACTCCCTCCTCTTCCCCCTTCCCTTACTGCCTCTTTCTGATAGGGACAGCAAGGGGGTTGACTAGTCGACTAGCCTGTTAACCATCTGATAAGCATTTGCTTATCAGATAGTCGACTCATCGTTCACATCCCTATCCTGCAGGCTAACTTTTAAAGGGCAAGAAGCATTGCACCTAGTGTCTCTTCAGTGCAGTCCTTCTCAGTGTAGCAACAAGGGAAGTGTCTCTCAACTTTCACCCCGGAGCAAGTAACCCAATGTCCAAAGGCATTCGATCTTCAGAGCCTTCTCTTCGCACTATTGTGACTTAAATGATGATGTAGTGGGATTGGTCCTGCTTTGCGCAGGGGGCTGGACATGATGACCTCCTGAGGTCTCTTCCAGCTCTATGATTCTAAATAAATATTATTAAATGTTATAACAGGGAGAGTTTGCTCAAGCTATTCAAATATCAGCTAGAGAATTACAGCCAGTAAACTAGTTATCTACTCTGTTGCTGGGTCTAGCTTCTATGCTAGGGTACTCCACATGCAGGAGATGGGATCCATGCCATTCCCTCTATGGGAAAAGAAGAGCCTCGAAGAGGGCACACTCATGCACACCCCAGTAGCTACACTGGAGTTAGCCACACTGGAGTTCTCACACATTCCCAACATGGACTATATCTTAAGGCTTTGGCTTAGAACAAGGCCTTAAATGGGCAGCAGTAGCTTGCGTGTTGGAACACTCTGTGCAAGCCCCCACCAAAGCTCCATATCGGGACCTTAGTCTGTTCTCAGATTCAGCCTAGGTGTGCAGTTCTCTCTCCGAGTACTTCCCCTGTTGGGAGAAAAACGAGTTCACATCCACCGATGTGATTAAATACGCTTTGCTGTTAAAGTACATCCGCCACCTGGCTCCCAAAGTCATGCCTTCAGGATGTTTAATCTCAGTTAAAAAGGTTGAAGCTCATTCCAAATCCAACCCGTATGCCCTTGAAAACGAGAAAGCTGATAGATTAGCTTGTGAAGGGGCCCGTTCAGGAGAGCCCTGGGAAGAGAAAACCTTAAAAACCCTCATTGCTACTCTTGGTCCCAAATGTCCTGTTGCAGCCGTCAAGACTGATGTGCCTGATCTCAAAGAGTTGCAGGCCCTAGATAAAAAAACCATGGAAATAATTCAAGAACTTTCAAAGACAGATGGGGAATGGCCGCCCAAATCAAATCCTCGCTACGGGAGATACAGACAGCAATTACAGGGAGTGGACAACGTCCTCTTGTATAAGGGGGTTCCTTTCCCTGTATCATAGAACACTAGAACTGGAAGGGACCTCAAGAGATCATCGAGTCCAGTCCCCTGCCCTCACGGCAGGACCCAGTACTGTCTACCATCCCTGACAGGTGTGTCTCTAACCTGCTCCTGAGTATCTCCAGAGATGGAGATTCCACAACCTCCCTAGGCAATTGATTCCAGTGTTTCATCACTCTGACAGGTAGGAAGTTTTTCGTAATGTCCAACCTCAACCTCCCTTGCTACAATTTAATTCCATTGCTTCTTGACCTATCATCAGAGGCCAAGGAGAACAATTTTTCTCTCTTCCTTGTGACACCCTTTTAGATACCTGAAAACTGCTATCATATACAGGTGGTCCCTACTCCTTTGAGAAGGGAAATGATCCACATGGTTCATGGTACTCCCACAGGAAGACACCAGGGAGTAGGGAAAACCATCCAATGTCTCCAGAATGTGGATGGGTGGCCACTTCTGGGATTAGATATGCAGCTGTAGTACCGACACACCTGCTTAACCTGTGCTCAGGTTACCCCGAATGCAGTCAAACAGAGCGCACCATTACAATCCCAAGTGTACGAGGATCCAGCGGAGGAGGGAAAGGGGAGGTTTGGCAGATTGATTTCATAGGCCCTCTACCGTGCACCCCAAACGGGAACCAGTATCTTGTGGTTCCCTTTTCCAAATGGCTAGAGGCTTTTCCTCTGAAAACCAACAGCCAAGGTGGTGGTAGAATGTCTTCTCTCGCCAGGGGATGCCTGCGAAAATGGAGTCAGACCAGGGATCGCAGAGCAGAGCAGTTTTTCCAACTGTCTTAAATTGATGGGAGTCCTGCAGAGACTACACTTCCCATCCCGACCACAGTCATCTGGGATGGGGGAGCGAACCAATCGACCCTTAAAGGTGATGCTGAGGAAACTGGTTGATGTCAATGGGCGCAAATGGGATTCCCTTATGCCTACGATCTCATGGCCCTCAGAGCAACTCCCGCTGCGTCTACTGACATAACACCCTTCTGAGGTGACGACAGGATGAAGCATGAGGTTACCTGTACATAGGGATCTCATAGGCATTCTTGCATCACCTATGGCCAAGGCCAAAACAGATTTCCACACCCTAAGGCTTTGGAGAGGGCACACATTTGATTGGAGCATTAAACCAGGACATGAAAAATCACTTCACGCCTTTGTGGACAAGTTTCTAAAATGGGTAAAAAGGGAACTTGTGGCTTAATTACCAAGAAATACCACAAGTCGCTCACTGCCCCTGCTTGGTAAAGCAGGATGTTCAGTCTGGCAGGTCATGGTATTTTGGGACTTCATGAGAGAATGATTCATTCTGTGTCAACACACTGGTCTTTTGTGGTTTGACCTCTGGCCTAGCTGGAAATTTCCACACACTATTATCTAACTATAATTCCTTTTAAAAAATCACACATATTAACTCTGACTTAGAACCAATCCATACTACTGCTAAAGCCAACTTCTAAACAGGATAAGATTCCTGGAGGTCCTTGCATTATTGCTAGAATAGGACAAAACAGCGAAAGGTTTAAGAGAGTATAGAGGCTTGCAGGCTACAAAGGAGACGCAGATGCTCACACAGACAAACGTACCCTTAAACACTTTCACTGAGATAAGTGAACTAGTAATCAAATGGTAAAATAATCAGAGTTACAAAGGCAAGAATATTGTTCTAGAGGTGCATGCGATATTATGCACTAACAAGTTTTTGATTAATATCCTCACATCCTTCCTGGATAACCAGGTGGTAAGAGGCAAAGGACCAGCCTCGCCGCTAGCACGCCAAGATAGTTTAGGTCCAGCTTCCTCAATTCTTGAGGGGAAGGCGCAGCGCTCAGGAGAGGCTAAAGAACGAAAGAGGCTAACTAGAGTTTTACTTAACTGACTTAAAACTTGCAATTAGGAACTAACAGATTAATAAACAAAAGGATAATAAACCAAGAATAAAGAGCCTTCTTTGGCATGATGGGTCACCTCTTCTATAAAGCCTGAACACTTAAGCCCTCCTATGTCCAAACTTACTTTCCTAACCCACAAAACGTTAGGGCACACTTACATACAAACACACCAGCCTATAGAGTAGACATGAGGTCAGATCAAGTTCTTTGTGATGTGTCTACGATCAAGGTCACAACCATATGTGGAACTTATGGTTTAGCTCATGACCACTTATCTAGGTGAAAGGTCCCAAGCATACGCATGCTAACTTTGCCTTAGCTCGACAGTCAGGATGTGGCCTGTGGTTCCCTCACATTACAACCAAAACACTCTATTATAAATCTACTAGAGGATTTACTAGGTGTTCCTCGGGTCCTTAACTCAATTAAGCCAGGTGAGACGTGCCTCTCCATGGCTGCTGCAGCTCCAGCAGGCACATCTCCCTAGGCTGGGGCAGGTCCAGGTTTGTCTGCCCCTGCGCTCCACAGCCAGAGGGAGGAAGGCAGCAAACTGGGCACTTTCCCCTCGCTCCCTGACAAAGGGGAACACCCAGCAATGTTCCCGTAGGAATGGGAACTTCAGCCCCTTCCCCCTCCCCCCCTAAAAGAGGCACCCCTAGCCAGTCCCTTCTACCTGCCTTGTGATTCTGTCTCTTTTCTGCATGGTTTGATGAGAAGCCTCAATCCCATTCCAGGCACATCCCATTGTGCTGGCATGAGCAAACCCTTACTTTGCTGTAAGACATGAGAAGAGGACGCTGCCTACCAAATTTGGTGGTCCTAGCTCTTACTGCTTAGGACAAGTTCTTGAATAGACAGACAGACTCACTCTCTCAAATATATAGTAGATAAACCTAATAGAATACAACAAATAATCAAACCCATAAGAAAATAAGAAACCCATAAAAAAAGAGATATAGACACGCAAGCAGGCTAGCCTTATAGGCTACAATAAGGATAGAACTGAAGGATCAAATGACGCACAAAAACACTGATTCCAGATACTAGTTTGTCCTATAACAGGGCCTGAGTATCACAAATATTCGTGCTAATGCTCAAACTTCCATGACTAAGTCTTATGTTCTCCCCCTCATAATACTGGGCTGTCCTCCTGCCAGAGGTTAGCACATTAATACGTATTAACGCCATTGTGCTCACTACCATACCCATCACTTCTTGCTCAAGCAGATTGGTGATTATCAATTCCATGTACCTTAGGTTGCCATTCACTGTTCGGTTTCAGTTGCTGCCATG